AGACAGAATTTGGTACCGAGAGAGTGGGGTGCTGCTCTAACAGATACCTAAAATGTGGAAGCGGTTTTAAAACTGTGAATGGATAGACGTGCGGCAGTGACAGAGGACAAGCAGGAGCAGAGAACCTACAGCAGCAGAGAAGCAGCAGCAGCAGAACCAGAAGACCGGTGAAAGCCGGCGCTGGAGCCGACCCACGGAGCAAGAGAACTGAATGCCTGTGAGCAGGAGGCTTCCTGGCGGAGTGGGGTGCCTCTGGGCACTTATCGGTGGAGCTAGGCTTGCCAACCCACAGAGCGAGGGAGCTGAGTGCCTGTGCGCAGAAGGCTTCCTGGTGGATTGGCATGCCTCTGGAGCTACTGAGCTCTGGAACACTTGCCCCAGCAGGGCAGATGCGGGCATGAGGCCCGAGGGCCAAGAGGCCACAGGAAGCAGAAGCTGAAGAGACAAGGGACAGAAGAAGCGGAGCTGCTTCAGTCTCAAAAGGTATGGCCATGACCTCAGGGGTTTCAAAGGGTGGAGCCATGGCCTCTGGTGGAGTTGTCACTCTGATGGACTAGGAGAATGGTGCACCTAAAGCCAAGGGAGCAGAACTGCTGTCCCAGGGGGCCTGGAAGGCGGAGCTGAAGCCCAGGGCCAAGGGGCCTCCACTCAAAATCCAGAGACTGTGGCCAATACCTAGAGTCTGGAGGGCAGGGCTATTGTGTAAATTGTCTCAGAGAACAGAGGATTATTTTCAAAGCCTTGAGGGCTAATGTAATGTGTTCTGCTGACTTGCTTGGTGCCTGTTATCACTTCTTTCCCTCTAGTTTCTCCCATTTGTAATGGAAATGTCTAGCTTGTGCTTGCTCTGCCATTGAACCTTTTCAAGCAGATAACCTGTATTCTAGATTTCACAGATGAAGAGGAATTTTTGGACTTTGGACTTGGGAGTTAAGACTTTTGTTATGATATGATGGGGTGAATATGTTTTCCATGTTGCAAGGATGTGATTTTTGGGGGCCCAAAGGGTGGAATGTCATGGTTTGAATTATGTCCCCCAAAAAAATGTGTGTATCAATTTGGCTAGGCCATGATTCCTGGTACTGTGTGATTTTCCTGTATGTTGTAAACCTGCCTCTATGATGTTAACTCTTAATTTTATTTTATGTACTTCTCCCACAGTCTTCTACATCTTGGTAAATGGCATCACCCTCTACCAGATATTCAGGCCAAAAGCCTAGGTGGTGTAACAGTGATCAGAAACACAGATTTTGAAGCCAGACTGCCTGGATTCAAATCCTGTTTCTGCTCTTCACTACCTGTGCAAAGATACAAGCCTCAGAGAGTGATATTTATACCTACATCATAGGGTTACTGTGAGGATTACCAAAACCAAACCTACTGCTGTCAGATGGATTCTAACTCATAGCGACCCCACAGGGTTTCCAAGTCTGTAAATCTTTATGGAAGCAGACTGCCACATCTTTCTCCTGTGCAGTGGCTGGTGGGCTTGAACCGCTGACCTTTTGTTCATAGTCGAGTGCTTTAACCACTGCACCACCATGACTCCCCTATGAAATTAAATGTACTAATTCATGTAAAGCATTTAGAATAGCATCTAGCAAATAGTAAATATTAACTTTGTGCTAGCATTACTATTATCAGTATTTTTATTATTATCCTCGATTCCTTTTCTCTCAACTAATCCACTATGCCAACAATACCTCAAAAATACAACTGAATTCCACTGACTTCTCTCAATTGTTACCACCACCAAATCCACCCTAGTTCGTGCCACCATCTAAGTTACTGGGGAAAGCTTCCTAACTAGTCTCCCATGCTTCCACTCTCTTAACCCTCCAAAGGAGATTTCCAAGCAACAGCTACAGTAATCCATTTAAAACAAAAATCAAATCATGTCATTCCCTTATTCAAAACTATCCAGTGACTTTACACTACATTAGGCTAAAAATCAAACTTTTTAACCTTAGTTTATTCAAAGTCCTACATCTTGCCCAAGAACTGGTACAGTCTCATCCCATATCACCCCTCATTAGCTCACTATGCTCAGCGACACTGGCCTTTTTATTCAGCAAAGACGCCAACATTCCCTCCTTGGGGCCTTTGCATTAGTGACTGTCCATGCCTGGAATGCTCTTTTCTGTGTATTTGTTCAGCTGGTTATTTCATGTCCTATGTAGCATTTTTCTTATTAATTGTCTGTACCTCCCACTAGAATATAAGTTCTGTAATAGAAGAAAATTCATCTAATCTTACTAAGCACTATAACCCTAGTACCTAAAACAAAATGAGCATGAACAAATGAAAATTTATTTAAAAATAAGCCATTAACTGAAAGAACTGGCTAAGGCTTCTAGAATTATTACGTGAAGCAAAGGAACACATTTTTCTCTCATTCTTTTCCCTCACTGTGCTGGTTATCAATTTAATGCATCTCAGTTCCAAATTTACCCTTTTGCCTGCTCTGTAACTAGACCCTCGTACACTTAATTTCAATATTTTCTTAATGATCTAAAAGCCCCCGGCTGCACAACTCCTTACAAAGACACAGTTACAATCAAAAGATCCGAACAATTATAGTCAGAAGACATGAGAGCCAATCATGGCTCCATCAATTACTAATCAAAATAACCTTGGGCAAATTACTTAGCCTCTCACTTCCTCATCTGTAAATACAGATTATAATCCCTGTCTATCTCCGAGGCTTGTGTTAGGATCAACCGAGATAACACAGAAACAGAAAACTGAAGACAAATGCAAGTTATTATTATTCAGAATCTCAGTTCAACAAAATTTTACTGAGCACTGACCCCATCTATGTGCCAGATGCTACACTGGATGCTAGAGACAGAAAATTTTAATTAAGACAGAGCCCTTACTCTCAAAGAGCTTACATTTTAGTTGGGGATAAAAATATATAATCAGAATAATTTCATCACAATTTGGTAGTGTGCAGAGTTCTGTGGGAGCACAAAGGAGGGATACATGGGGACTTAGGGGAGGCTTCTGGAGGCAGAAGGGCCACAGTTGAGTCTCAGAAGGTCAGCAGGGTAAGAAAAGAGTTCTTCTCAAAGGAGAAGATAATGTCTAACTTTTACTAGCCCCAAGGTATGTTCAAAAGCCAGACTGTTATACTATCATAATAATCACATGATCACAGGTCAAGTACCAAGCTTTCAGATATTACCTGGGATAAAACCCTTCTATCAACTTAGATTTCCCCAGGACCACTTATGTCATCCTCTACCACTAAGTCAAATATCATTTTTATCTACTTTAGGACAACTTTTCTCATCTTATAAGAATATTTCCATTAATAAGACTACATACTCCAAGGTCAAAACCCTTCTCACTGGAAAAGAAATAAAGAGACTATAGTGCTAGATTTAAATTTCTACTTCAACCATAGCCCTAAAAGAAACTCCCTCCCTCCCTTCCTTCCTTCTCCCTTCCACTGCTCCCAGGACAGGTTCCCTCCCCTCCACTCTCCTGCATGATAAGTTAAAGGGCTCCCTGGAGAGTCAAGTGCTGCCTGAGACAGCAAGTTATCGTCCCTTCTCTATCAATTCCAGAAACACTGAGGCCAGAATTCCTCACAGCCCACCAATAATCAGGACAAATTCATTAAAAGTAAATGTGAATCCACTAAAGGTCAGCATAGAGTTACTCTATACCCTGGAATTCCACTCCTAGGTATATGACCAACAAAAATCTTTGCCAAAAGATATACTAGAACATTCAGAGCAGAAGTATTAGTAATACCTATAAAACAAATTTTTTAAAAATGGCTGTCAACAATAGAATGGATAAATAAATTGCAATAAAATCAAGCAGAATTGGGACAAATCAGAATCATGTGCTACCTGACAGGATTCAATAAAAAGAACACAGAACACTTCTATGACATTTCTGTTCAAGATCTATAACTTTAATCGAAAGATGTGGAAACACCAGACAAACCCAAATAGGTATTCTACAAAACAACCAGCCTATAATCTTGAAAAATGACAAACTCATAAACGTCAAGGAGAGACTAGGAACTTGCTCCAGACTGAAGGAGACTAAAGAGACATGACAACTAAATGGCAAAAGTGATTTGGGACTGGTACCTTTTGTTATAAAAGACACTATTAAGACAACTGGTGAAACTTGAACGGGGTCTGAATGGTAGTCATGTATCAGTGCTAACTTTTGTATTTTGACCATTGAATTATGGTTACGTAGGAGAATTTCCCTGTTTGTAGGAATTAGACACTAAAGTACTTGGGGGTGATGACACATCAGGGTGGCAACTTATTCTCAAATGGTTTACGGAAAAAGTTACTGTTTTTTACTTGCAATTTATAAGTTTGGTCTTGTTTCAAAATTATTAAAAAATATACTTTTTTAAGTATGTCAGAGCAGGGAAAGAATAAACAGGAGGTAGGGAAGAATAAAAAAACTCAAAGTTCATATGCTATATGTGTTACCAACAAGAAACAAAGTTTAAGTGCAGTTTGCTGAAAAAATTATCTTACTTTCAACTTAGGAGCTCATAGAGTTTTGTCTTTTCTCTCAGTATCTGCAGGGATCCTGTCTTTTACCCAGAAATTTACAAACTTTCAAAAAAAATTGTAAAAATTTGCCACATATTCTTCCCTGTACAATGGATTACTAAAAAGATTAGTCTCTACAATGGATTACTAGGAAGATTAGCTGAATAGCAAATATTCTTAGAATACCCTGAATTATCTGAGGGAAAAATGCATAGTAAATGCAAAAACGTTATTTACAAAGCAAATTCATAAAACAAACAAGTTAAAATTTATTAAAAATTTATTTATTCTTTGCAATACATAAATGAAACCTAAAGATTCTGAAATTACCACTAGAACATCATAAGCAATCTGAATATCATTATGAAAGTTAAATTAACTTATTTCCTAAAGAAACACAGCATAAAACTGCCAACGGTGTAATTAAAAATATGAACAAGTCAAATAATAAAGTAAATTACTTACTGCCAAAGCCTTGGACAGTTTGGCTCTAAATTCATTCAGGATGATTGCCACAATGTCCCTAAGTGGTACATAAGCAAAGCCAACTTCCAAATAGACTTTCCTTCCTCGAAACAAGTCTAGAGCGTCAGCAAAAGGGATCTGAATTCAAAGTGAAATGGAGAAAGTTAAGTCAGCACCTGTCACTACAAAATCCTCCTAAGTCTTCACACATATTAAGTCTAAACAAAATCATTCCTGTGAAAAATACATTAGTCTCAGGAGATGCAAAACAAAAACAAAAAGATCAATTTATTCTCCTTAAAACAAAACACTTAGCATTAGGAAACTGTTCATTTCAGAGTAGAGGAGATGATGATGATATGACGTGCCAAGTTAGATCGCTTTATTCTTATTCTTAATTTAGGAAATTACAAATTATAATCCCCAAGATTTCAAATTTAGGAAATTCTAAGCACATTATATTCACTTCAGATAACATATTCACATTATATCCTCCATCAAACAGAACCCTAATGTGCATACATGTTCAATGCTAAAACTGCTAGTAAGTAAAGAAATTCTGAATTTCTTTATCTATGTTTCCATTCTTCCTCTAGAAAAATATATTGGAAAAGTTAATCTCAACACTAAGAAATGGAAATAATAAGTCTTTAGTTTTGATATTAAAATAAGTATTTACCAATATTTTTAAAAAATACTAATACTATTCTACCTATATCTTTTATAGTTCTATGAACTATCCTAAAATTCTAAGAGATGAGCAGAATATATCAATAAATTGCAAAAATCGTTCCCACTCTGCAATGTAGAAACAATTTCTCTCCTTTCTAAAAGTGAGGTAAGAAATGAGGTGAAAAATAACGATCTCTAACTTCCCTGTTCACTCGAATTTTAGGAAAGCGCTGAATCTAAATGCCTACAATTCTTCTGTATACTCAACAACACCTCACACAATGAACAGATCGTACGTTTTTTAACAGATAGCTTTTGATTAACTTGCTGATTTCTAGGATTACAACACAGCGCTTATCCTCAAGGAGTTCATCACTTAGTTGAGAATACAAGACAGACACACGCAGAAAGTCAAACAGCTCTCCAGGGCAGTACTGTTTGTGATACTGCACCAAGCGGGAGTTCACACAGGACATGTTAAAGCGGCAGGTGAGTAAGTTTACTGCAGTAACCCAGGCAAAAAAAGGGGATACAAGAAGTCTGGAAACGTGAGTTCTAGTCCAAGCTCGGTTACTAACTAGATTTGTGATTTTGGTAAATTCAATGAACTCCTCTAAACCTCAGTGGCCAGATCTGTAAAACTCGGGGAGGAGAGGAAGAGATGGACTAAATGCCCTTAGTGGTTCTTCAGCTTATTAGGGTTGTCATAGTGGAAATAAAAATGCCCAAGCAGAAGCAAAAGATGATGTGAAGCAGCGTAACAGGAAATGTGTGGTGTGGGAGGAATAAATATTGATTCTCCCACTCTAAGCTTGGAAGGCTGACTGAATGATGACCCAACTGGTAGAAACAGGGAACCGAAATGGACAGCTAATATGTAAGCAGAATTTTAAATTATTGGCACACGCCAATAATAATCAGTAAATTTTTTCAAAAAGAAAGTGTGGGGTTGCAGGGTTGCAGCTATCATATATTAAAATGAATTTCAGCTTTCCCCCTCTTCTACTTCTGGAATTATTCAGTCCAAAAGCCATTCAGTGGGTTCAGGCAAAGTAGATGTCTGTGCTAGTGATGTCAGGGGGACTGAGGTGGTCCAGTGCAGGATGCTGGAACTTGACTGGATTAAGGAAGGCATCCCCATGGGAGAGCAAGCTGGCATCGGTGTCAGAGCTCAAGTGGAATGAGAGGGAGTCCACGTGGGTCAAGAGTGGCAAAAATGACTTCCACACAAGGCAATAAGCCAGCACAGGGTGTTGGAGCCAAGTGAGTGATGAGGGCATCTATATGGGGGCAGCCTAGTGCAGGGTATAGAAGGCCAAGCATTGTGAGGAGTGCATTCCTTAAAGAAAATGGCCTGCAGCAGGGGTCAGAGCCCAAGCAAGGTTAGGAGGGTGTCTGTGTAGGAGGACAGCCCAGCACGTATGTTAGCAAACCCTAGTAGGGTGAGGACAACAGCTGCGCAGGAGCAGGGTAGCTGTGGTGACACCGACACTCATGAATGGGTTAATTAAGTATGTATATAAAGGTCAATGTGATATATTTAACAAAACCTGGAAAATATTTTAAGTTTACATACCTTATAAACTGTCTCCATCTCCAACTGAGCCCCACTTAAACTTGGTGATGAGGCAATGATCTCCTGTTCTCGAAGCTTCTTCTCTTCATCACTTATCTAAATGGAAACATATTTTACTGCTTAAGAAATTAAAAGTCCTCATTCAGTTTAAATAAAATGCTTTCCTGTTCTACGGAAGAGTCAATACTTTTACAAAAAAACTTTAAAACCCTAACACCTCAAATCCTTCATAGTATGGTTAAGGCAATTTGTGAAAGAAAATCTAAATTCAATATTCTTTCAAACTTCTACTGTGACAATTTCCAAAGTCATGCACCTTTAAAAGAAATTAGCAGAAAGAGGAAGAGATCTGTAATAAAAACTCAGGTTAATGTAGACTAAAAATGAGTATTATCCCAATTCAAGAGTTACGTTAACTTACTAAAATACTTATTTAATGAGTTTAAGAGTGGTTTAACTATTTTTCAATTTTCTAGCTACATAAGATGACTCCAAACTTAAAACATTCATTTTTGCAGAAACAACTATAAATCTATTATCTTAGACTGATAATGGCCTCACAAAAGACTGACAGATCTGACTAGATAAAAATTTTAAACTTCTATACAGAAAAAAAAGGATCTGTAAATGAAGATGAACTATAAATGATAAACTGAGGGAAATATCTGCAACATTTGACAATGAGTTATTCTCCATAAACCCCTAGATAGTAGTACTTAAGTACCAGTAACCCCAAAGTGGTAAAACACGAAAACCAATATTCATAAAAGTTATAATAATAAATATAAGTTAAATAATAACGTGCTACAACTTTCTATTAAGACAGCAAAAATTAAAAAGACTTAGAATACAGTGTTGGGACAATCTTTGTGTAGGGCACTTTGACAATACATATCAAAAAGCCTTGAAAATGCAGACTCTAACAACTTCACTTCCAGAATTAATCTTCAACAGCAAGACAAGTATACAAATGAGAACAATGTTTCTTCATCATTGTGTTATTTATAACAAGAAGAAAAAAAACCTAAGTGTCCAGCAACAGGTATCTGGTTAAATAAATTGCAGTAGAACTGGCTATTTCAGTAAAAGTTATTCAGATCAATCTTTCACAGAAAAAAAAGAAAAAAATGTGATACACGCATCTTCTTAAAAGCAGAGAAGGTTACTATACAAAGTTGGGTCCACACAAAGTGGGATCTAACAAGAGACCCTCCTGCTCAAATGCTATGAATCATCAAGCAAATCTCAAGCCTTGAACTTGTTTTAAAGTGGTCCCTGATTCAAATGCCCCGGACACCTGGCAGAAGCAAACTCAAACCTTCTCTAGAGGAAAGCACCTTCTCACTATGCCTCAAAATATCCCTACAAATACAATACAATATGAAATACACTGCATTTTACAACAAGGAACAGATGACTTGACTTCATGAGCAAAAACAACACAGATTCATAAAGTACACAGAGAATTACTATGCTACTAATCAACTCAGCGGCAACTAACAACAACAACGTGTATAAGGAAATAAAAAAACAAGCCTGATGATATCTGTGTGTGAAGGGGAAACTATGAAAAGCGATTTGTTTAAAAAAAAAAAAAACAAAGAAGAACTTCTAGAAACAAATAAACAAAAAATTCAGTAACAGAAATTAAAAACTCAATGCAATCATAAAGAAATACCTTATCATTGCTGTTGTTGTGTGCTGTCGAGTCAATTCATAGGGACCCTATAGCACAGGGTAGAACTGCCCCACAGGGTTTCCTAGGCTGTCATCTTTGGGGAACACATCGCCCACCAGGTCTCGGTGGGTTCGAATCACCCACCTTTTGGTTAGCATCTGAGCACTTTAACCACTGTGCCACCAGGGCTCCTTAGGTTCCAGTAAATGGGGACTAAGTAATTTAGATCAAACCACCTGCTAAGGTAAAGAAGCCAAACAAAACATCAACAGGCAATTCCTGTCATTTTAAGTCCACTTTTATATTCACTAATTCTGGGAAAGCAGCTTCAAAGAGATCTGCCAAGAGTGGATAAACCACTTCCTATTTTCATCTAGGAAACCCTGGTGGCACAGTGGTTAAGGGTTCAGCTGCTCATTGTTCACAATAGCAAAAGGATGGAAACAACCTAGATGCCCATCAACAGATGAACGGATAAACAAACGACAGCACATACACACAATGGAGTATCATGCAACAATAAAGAACAGTGATCAATCTGCAAAGTATCTCACTCATAACATGGATGAATCTGAAGGGCATTATGCCAACTGAAATAAATCAATCACAAAAAGACAAATATTGTATGAGACCACTACTGTAAAAACTCGTGAAAACATTTACACATATAAAGAAACAATCTCTGATGGTTACAGGCAGGGGTAGGGGACACTAAATAGACAATAGATAAGTGGTAACTTTGGTGAAGGGTAAAACAGTACACAATACTGGGGAAGCCAGCACAACTTGTACAAGCTCCACAGACACATCCAAACTCCCTGAGGGACTGAACTGCTGGGCAGAGGGCTGTGAGGACCATGGTCTGTCTCGGAGAACATCTAGCTCAATTGACATAATACAGTTTATAAAGACAATGTTCTACATTCTACCTTGGTGAGTAGCATCTGGGGTCTTAAAAGCCTGTGAGCAGCCATCTAAGATACTCTACTGGTCTCACCCCTTCGGGAGCAAGGGACAATGAAGAAAACAAGATACAAGGGAAAGATCAGTCCAAAGGACTAATGGACCACAACTATCACAGCCTCCACCAGACTAAGTCCAGTACAACTAGATGGTGCCCAGCTATCACCACTGACTGCTCTGACAGGGATCACAACAGCAGGTCCCAAACAGAGCTGGAGAAAAAGTGTAGAACAAAATTCTAACTCACAAAAAAAGACCAGACCTACTGGCCTGACAGAGACTGGAGAAACCACGAGAGTATGGCCCCCGGACAGCCTTTTAGCTCATTAATGAAGTCACTCCCGAGGTTCACCTTTCAGCCAAAGATTAGACAGGCTCATAAAACAATACGAGACCAATGATGCACAACAGCCCGGGGACAAGGACTAGAAGGCAGGAGGGGACAGGAAAGTTGGTAACAAGGAACCCGAGGTTGAGAAGGGAGAGTGTTGACATGTCGTGGGGTTGTTAACCAATGTCATAAAACAGTACGTGTACTAACTGCTTAATGAGAAACTATTTGCTCTGTAAATCTTCATCTAAAGTACAATTAAAAAAAAAGAGTTCGGCTGCTAACCAAAAGGTCGGCAGTTTGAATCCACCAACTGCTCCTTGGAAACCCTATGGGGCAGTTCTACCCTGTCCTATGCAGTCACTATGAGTCAGAATCAACTCGATGGCTATGGGTTTGGTTTTGTGGATATACCAGTAAGAAATAGGTTATATTGTGGGACATCTATACAATGGATAGACAGTATGTAACCACTAAAGATGAATATCTACATTTAGTAACATGGAGAGATACCCACGACAACATTCTGAGTAGGCGAGGAAAAAGCAGGCTACAAGTTGTTGTTGTTGGTTGCATCAAGTGAGCTCAACTCATGCTGACCTTATGTATGACAGAAGGAAATAATGCCTGGTCCTGTGCCATCTCCATAATCCTTGGTAATACTAAGTATGTGATACGATCTCATTTATATTAAATGACATGCATATATACACACATCTGCAAGAAAGATGTCTGGAAACATTTACCAAAACGAACAGACGGATTACCCCTGGATGAAGGAATTCTGAACAATTTTTTTATACTTTTCTGTACTATTTGAATATTTAGAGAGTCAAAGAGCTTTGTTTTGTCTTGTTTTTAGTAAGAAAAAATTTTTTTTTAAATAAAGCCCAGGAATATCTCTTTAGTTTTGACCACCAATCTTTATTTACTTAAGAAAACGATAAATGTTCTTTTGTTAGAATGGCTAGAACAGTATCTTTGTTCCTAGAATAGTAACTTCATTTTGTGGTCACAGTCTGTTGCCCCTTCCTTTCCTCTCATATTCATAGCAGAATTTAGGAGGACTTCAGCCACTGTGACTATGTCAAATTATTATTACTAGAACTTGACTGCCCTCTCTGCAAACCCTTATAAATGCCCTGTCTCTCCTGTAATCTCTATTTTCTCATAGACTTCATTTTCATACACATTCTTGTTTTCAGGTTCTCTCCAGGTGTTCTTGCTGCCTCCTCTTCCATGAATTTTCTGTTATTGCCTTACAAAAAGCTCTTCTATACACACTACAAGCTATTTTTGCTGCTGTTACTGCTGATATAGCCACTGCCTGGCACTTTTCCCGTACTGTGTTCACTGTCACTGTTAAGATATACAAAGGACCTAAAACAAAGGCAGCAATCACTATTTTCTTTGAAAATGCAAACAAACTTTTTTAAAATTACCAAGTGCAAGTACAGCTTTTAAAAGGATAAATCTTACACCTCTTCTTAAAAAAAAAAAAAAACCTTGAGAATTCTAGAAATGTGAGTTCACACGTTCATAAATAATACTTTTTCTTTCCTGTTTATTTATAAAAATGAAATAACATTAACAGAAAAGCTGCAATAAAAGTTATTCATAATTCCAATCTAATGATTGTTTCTGCTTCTTATATTTAATTTTCTATCCATACACATATTTTCCACTGCCGTAATTATATCATCGCAATAGCTGCTGTTTAAAATATTATATTCAGGATATCTATGGCCCAAATATTTTCCTAGTCATCTAAAATACTTTGTAGAACAAGATATGGTATACACAGGTACACACAAGAGCCATCATTTATTATATCTTTATTCTAAAGTCAGAAATATACCAATAATAGTTATAAAGAGGGGGTTCAAAAAATGGACTCGTACAGTACTCACTTGTGTATTGGGCTTCTTTCACTCAGCATAATGTTTTTGAGATTTATCCATGTGTTGTTTATATTAGTCACTCATTCCACTGTAGTATTCCATTACATAGACATACCATATTTATCCATTCACTGGTAGATGGAGGTTTAGATTGTTTCTGGGTTTTGATTATTATGAATAAAGCTGCTATGAATATTCATGTACAAGTCTTTGGACATGTTTT